TTCTTCTTTCTATTTCTTTTCATGCCCCACCTTCCTCCTGCGGTGCGTGCTGAATTTATTTTTATCGCGAGAAGGGCCCAGCCGTCCCTTTCCCTCGTCAACGGTGCTAACGTCGAAGTTTGGTACTCACGAGAACTGTTTAGCTATATTTCGCTTTCACCCGCACATTTCGTAATTTTTTTACCCCATGGGGATTCGAACTCACGACCTCTGCGACTAGCGGATTACGAGGATACCACTAGGCCACCCGGGCGACCGCATAAAACCCGCAGAAAAAAACGTGTGCCGCACATACCGTGTACCACACATACATAACCACAACCAAACCACCGACAACGCTCGCTTGTTCATCGTTCATGGGCACCGCCTCCATAGGATACCGGCCCTTCTCAACAGAGGGTCGGACTCGCTTGACGCGCGAGTACTTCGGTGTGGTACTGATCAGTAAAAGCACAGAGAGAGAGGCACAGAGAGAGAAAAAAACGGGCACGACCTGCCTCGTGCATCATGCTTCCGAGGCACAGGACACACAGGACACAGACAGCGGTTTATTGGTTTCGCCGCGATCTACGGCGGATGCTGTCGGAGATTGGTGTCGTCTTGATTTCCAAGTGTACCCTGAAATGGTGATAATCTATCCGGGTATACCCATTTCTGGTTACTCCTAAAAAAACAACAACCGTGTACCCCCCCCTGCCGCTCCTTCGTGGCTCGCACCAAGCAGAGAACTCCCAACGTGAAAACAAACATGGCTACTAAATCACAGAAGTTGACCAACCTCATCCTCTTCCCACGCGCGTGTCGACCCCGCCCCCACCTCCCCCCCAAACCTCCACGCTAACCACGTGAAACACCGTACACGATCATAGCGAACGACATCACCCGACCTCCATCCATCCACTCTAGACACGCGACATGCCGAACACGAGAATAACCAACGAAATCACGACCACAATATCCCTATGATCCTCATGCGGCCGCCTGCTCTCCCTCCGGCTCCTCCCCCTCGGGGGAGGCAGCGTCGACCCCGGCGTCGCGCATCGGGGGCTCTTCGGCCTCAGCCGCCGCTTCCCCCTCCGCCGCCGCCGCTGCCGGAGCCGCCGCTTCTTCCTTTTCCTCCTTGGGCTCCTCCTTCTTCTCGGGCCCCAGGGAGACGACGCACACCGCTTTCCGGATCACGTTCTTCTTGAGCTCAAGTCCCGGGGACACGCACTTGATGATCAACCCCTCCTTCATCACGGGGTTGTACTCCTCGGACGCCTACCTCGGTGGTACCAAAAGAGACGGCGCAGGGGGAGAGAAAGGCGCGAAACCGTCGGTTGCTGGGCGGGGTGGGGGTGGACGCGTGCTCACATGTTGCGTACACGAGATGGTGATTCGGGGGG